AGGCCAGGGAAATAAGCAAAAAAGATACCCTGTTTTTGACACTCGTCCGGCCAGGCAAACGACAGTTGTTTTGAGTAGTGTGGACCTCTGTAACAAAAACCTATATGTTTCCTGCAGTCGATTTTTTGGACTAAATTAGTTATTAACAAATTAAGTTCAAAAAACGGAAAATTTTTGCATTTTTTCGTCTATCAGCAAAAAGTGAAGCAATTTAAACAAATTTTAGAAGAAAGGAAACTTATAAGTTATATAAAAACCTTCAAAATGGAGTTCTCAAAATGTTTCTATCCTTATTTGTTGTTTAGAAAGTTGCAAAATAAGTCAAAAATTTCGGTTTTTTTATAAATGTTAATAACTTTTTTGAAAATAAACTTATAATATTTATATTTCATGGAATGATGTGTCTTGTAGTGCTTAATATAGGGTTAAAATTTCAAAGTGATCGGTCCAATAGTTTAAAAGTTATTTTATTTGTTTATCCCAAATTAACATTTTTTGCAACAATATAAGTCAGAAATTTATACAGTTTTAGAAATTGTAAGGGTTGTTTCTGGTAGAAGAAGACTTGTTTTATTATTTACATTAAAAAAAGTTAGGCAAATTAATTTTAAATATTGCAAAATAATTTTGCAAAGACATGTCGATTTTTTGCTTATAAACAATTAGAATAACTTTTTAACCATTGACTGTAAAAATATTATTTTTACATATTTAAAAAGCTTGAATTTTTTCACAAATTTAAATAAAAAAAGTTTGTCCTAAAATATTTTGGTACAAAGTTAGCCCCTTTTTTTATTTAATTCATAGCACCTTTGTTTATAACAATTAAGAAATCTAATTAGCGCTATTTAAAAGAACATACATTATAGTTTTAAAGTACTAAATTTTAAAATTATTGCCTTTTAATAGAATCCTCCACAAAGCTTCAAAATGTATGTAAAATCGGTCGGCTTTGAAACTCTCGGGAGCTGAAGGGAGGGGGAAAGCGCTGTTAACTGTGTTTCTGTTCCTTTTTTATGTATTTCAACGTTTCTTTTTGAACTTGTATGTACTTTTTGCGTACATTACGAATATGCATTATTTCAATAAATAATTTGTCAAATAAACCACCTAATTTGTTTAAAAACAATTTTTTTTAATTTTTTTAGTAGTATTTAAATTAAGTTTGAATGTAAAACAGAAGTATTTGTCATTTCCTATATTTTGGGAACTAAGCCACAATTTAAGTTTATAATAAGTTTATTTTTGATGTTTCGATTTCTACTTCTGAAATCTTTCCCAGAATGCAGAACATTAATAAATTAATCAAATTTTGTTTTTGGTTACTTGGTAGAAAATTTTTCTGATAACTCTTTTGGGTGATTGATTAGTATGAGAAAACTCAGTAGATCTGTTATAGTAAAAATTACAAAAAAAAATTATTGACAAAAATTGTAGACAGCTTTAAACTCCACATTTTTAAATTAGTTACAAACTTACAGGGTGTTCTATAAGATTGTGGCAGACCAAACTTATGTTTTTTTAAATGAAACACCCTGTATTTTATTTTAAATTTAAAATCTGCTTCACTTCCACATCACAATAATGTAAAGTTTTATTATGTTATACCGGATATTTAAAAAGTTATAACCAATATTACCTGAAAATCGTATCAAGTTTAACTCCCTGTATCATTAAAAAGAAGTATAGGACCATTGATCTATTGCAACCATAGTTTTTTAATAATTGTAAAAATTATAAAACATATTCGTTTTCATAATATTCGTTAAATCAAATACAGGGTAAGTCAAAATGCAAGTACATTATTTTCTTGATAATTTTAAATAGAACACCCTGTATTTTAAGTCACTATCGAAAAGTACTAATAAATATCGTACTTTACATTTTATGGAATACTCCCTATACCTAAAGTTATCAATTTTCTAGATAAGTATTAATTTGGTAGATATTTGAACTTTTACCAATAATTATTGGGAGTTGGCCATGATTGATTTGTCAGAAACTGACAGTTTGACATTATTGTTTTTTAATTCAGTAACGAGATAACGACACAGAAAAGAAAACAATTTGTTTCAAATAAAATTTATAAAAAATAACCAACAAAAAATAAAAAAAATAACAACACATAAAAAAATAAAAAACAACTGTAATTTTAACTAATTATACTTAAGTAAGGTGTTCAAAATGACCTCCCAAAACATCTATGCATACTTGAAAACGGTCATTGAAAGAGTTACTTACATTACTAAGCATTTGTAAAGAAATATTTTGAAATATAATTCGGATTCTATTTTTTATATCCCTTGTTGTTCTAAGTTCTAAGTAGTAACTAAGTTCTTGCTTATTGGAAATACTCCTTATACTTGTGAGTGGGTTTTCTGTAACTGCCATCAACACACTCATTTCGTTTTCCTCTGTCACACTAGTTTTTTTTTGTTCATGTTTTTCAGAATTCGCTGAACCAGTGCGGTTAAATCGATCTTTGAATTTTTCAAATGTATCTTGTCTAGGTTGCCGCCTATCTGGAAACCATTCATGATAAATTCTAGCTGATAGTAATGAATTTTTATTGCATTCCCCCAATATCCAGATCATATTTATCTATCATTTCATCAGTAGTAAAATTCATTATTGCTAATTTGGAATTGAATAAATTATTATATTGCTAAATAATAATTGTTGCTAATTTACGATGTACCCCAATACTGAATTAATAAACAATAATGTCAAACTGTCAATTTCTGACAAATCAATCATGGTCAACTCACAATAATTATTGGTAGACGTTAAAATTTCAAAATTTATACTTTGATGGAAAAATAAAAATATCTAGAAAACTAATAACTTTATGTATAGGGAGTACTCTATAAAATTTGAAGTACGATATTTAAAATTACCAAGAAAATAATGTACTTGCATTTTGACTTACCCTGTATTTAATTTAACGAATATTATGAAAACGAATATGTTTTATAATTTTTAACAATTATTAAAAAACTATGATTGCAATAGATCAATGGTCCTATACTCCTTTTTAATTATACAGGGAGTTAAACTTGATACGATTTTCAGGTTATATTGGTTATATCTTTTTAAATACCCGGTATAACATATTAAAACTTTACATTGTTGTGATTCGGAAGTGAAGCAGATTTTAAATTTAAAATAAAATACAGGGTGTTTCATTTAAAAAAAAACATAAGTTTGGTCTGCCACAATCTTATAGAACACCCTTTATGTTTGTAACTAATTTAAAAATGTGGAGTTTAAAGCTGTTTACAATTTTTGTCAATAACTTTTTTTTGTAATTTTTACTAAAACAGATCTACTGAGCTTCCTTACCCTAATCAATCATCCAGAAGAGTTATCAGAAAAATTTTCCAACCAAATTTTCTACCAAGTAACCAAAAACAAAATTTGATTAATTTGTTAATGTTCTGTATTCTGAGAAATTAAATACTACTAAAAAAATTTAAAAAAAATTGTTTTTAAACAAATTAGGTGGTTTATTTGACAGAGATACAGTTAACAGCGCCTTCCCCCTCCCTTCAGCTCTGGAGAGTTTCAAAGCCGACCAATTTTACATACATTTTGAAGCTTTGTGGAGGATTCCATTAAAGGGCAATAATTTTAAAATTTGGTACTTTAAAACTATAATGTATATTCTTTTAAATAGCGCTAATTAGATTTCTTAATTGTTATAAACAAAGGTGCTATGAATTAAATAAAAAAAGAGGCTAACTTTGTACCAAAATATTTTAGGACAAACTTTTTTTATTTAAATTTCTGAAAAAATTCAAGCTTTTTAAATATGTAAAAATAATATTTTTACAGTCAATGGTTAAAAAGTTATTCTTATTGTTTATAAGCAAAAAATCGACATGTTTTTGCAAAATTATTTTGCAATATTTAAAATTAATTTTCCTAATTTTTTTTTAATGTAGATAATAAAACAAGTCTTTTTCTACCAGAAACAGCCCTTACAATTTCTAAAACTGTATAAATTTCTGACTTATATTGTTGCAAAAAATGTTAATTTGGGATAAACAAATAAAATAACTTTTAAACTATTGGACCGATCACTTTAAAATTTTAACCCTATTTTAATCACTACAAGACACATCATTCCATGAAATATAAATATTATAAGTTTATTTTCAAAAAAGTTATTAACATTTATAAAAATCCAAAATTTTTGACTTATTTTGCAACTTTATAAACAACAAATAAGGATAGAAACATTTTGAGAACGCCATTTTAAGGTTTTTATATAACTTATAAGTTTCCTCTCTTCTAAAATTTGTTTAAATTGCTTCACTTTTTGCTAATAGTCGAAAAAAGCAAAAATTTTCCGTTTTTTTGAATTTAATTTGTTAATAACTAATTTAGTCCAAAAAATCGACTGCAGGAAACATATAGGTTTTTGTTACAGAGGTCCACACTACTCAAAACAACTGTCGTTTGCCTGGCCGGACGAGTGTCATGAAAAAATGCTTATTTCCCTGGGCTAGATTTCTTGTTTTTATATCTGGAGAAATATATTATTTATGGATATTTTTGTATGAAAATTGTGTACTACTATCACTATTTTTTTTTGTCTGCTGCGAAATTTATAATTTTTTGCTAGTTGTCCTTAGTTATTTCATGCAGGTTGTATACCGATTGTTCCCTGATATAATTCCTTTGTTCCTGTTTTTGCATTTAGATCTTCTAAAAGTATTTGAACGCTCTAAGGGTTTATCGTTCACACTTTGTGGTTCAATCTGGCAATAAAATTTTTCATTTCTTCTGCTTCTTTGTTCTCTGTATGTGAGTGCATGTTAATGAGATTTATATCACAGAATGGTTATGCTTTTGTTAATGTTAGTAAAATTGCTAAATAAAAATAAACATTTCTGCTATGGCAACGAAAATTGTAAAAAGTTGTTTTCAGTTATATAATGTAAAAACATTTACTTATATTTTAGATAAAAATTAAGAAGAATATATTTTATACTTACTATAGCTGTTAATCATCTCTACCAAAGCTTTTTCCTTAACCAAAGTAGCATACATATATGTAACGAAGACAATACTTCCAAGGTAAAGATAAATGTAAAAACTCTGGTAGAAATAAGGTCTCTCAGTGGAGATAACTTCGATTACAGGAAATGCGATACCCAGCACCACAACTAGCTTTGCATATAGAGCTGATAGTATGATGGATAGGGCATCTCTAAAAATAAAGCTATATAAATCTACTGCCGTTTGTTTTGTATGATACACTTTATTTTTATATTACACTTTTAACTAAAATAAGTGCTTGAAAACATTCAAAGCAAAATTTAAACTTGTATGTATAAACTCAACACCATTTAACGTTACAAGGGGGATACAAGATATGCAAATATCTTGTATCTGTATACAGACATACCAACAAATATATACAACATACCAACAAATATTTAAATTAACATTTATATCAATATATTATAAACATTAAAACGACGATTATCAAATCATTGCATAAAAGAGCCAAAAATATCTGATGAAAAAACGAATTATAGATTGTCTCAAAGTGACTAGTCTGTACACGGTAAATGCACAACATCGATGCCATACTTCTTTGCAAACTTGTATTAAAATAAATGTCACTTCTTACTACTTAGCCCAATCTATCTTTTGTGTTGAGGGTAGCTTAAGTACTAATGCCCACTAACGACCCTGCCTGACTTCCTTCTGTCAGTGGTTCTCAAACATAAATAATATTTGCTACAACATACTTGGGTTAAATTAAAATAAAATAGAAAATAAGAAATGCCTTTTATTTATGTCACACAAGCAGTTTATTTTTAATTCTACAGTATGTGCTAGCGATACAAACTATTTGTTTATAGATTTAAATAAAATCGAATAAAATAAAACTAAAATATACAGAAACATTTTATTTATGTATTGTTCCGTTTAAAAGTTAAGAGGGGAAGGACTTTTAAAAACCGCACTGTATATGTTGGCAGAAACAAAGCTCTAGAAATATCCGAAAATAAACTTAACGAATAAGTTGAAAATAAAAGTAGTCATTGTATTTAATTTCGTCTGTAAGTAATCGTAATTGTACACCATTATATTTAGTTTCTTTTTCTGTCAATAGCAGTCACATTCAGTTTCTACTTAACTCTCATCATCATCATTATTATCGTCACTGTTATCACTATCTTCGGTATTTATATTTATAATAATTGGTTCGATATCATCCAATAAATTGTCAATTTCCCACATTTTTTTTTCTGTTGTTATTACATGTTTTACGTAGTTTTTCCATTTCTCTGGCGTAATGACCTAGTACACTGCTGTAATTAAATTTCGCATTTCATCTTTTTTAAAATTCGCGTTGCGTCCAGCTATATACCGTTTCTCTTCACTCCAAACCATTTCGATGGGATTGAGTTCACATTGATAGAGACGGAGCCTCAGAATCTTCACATTGTGCTTTTTGGCAATATCTTTTATTATGTACCTGTCATATTTTGCTTTGAAGGCGTTGGCTACATCAAGTAACTCGCATTTTAGGTAATCTTCTTTAAAAAATAGGTCCTTTGACAGAAGCCATTCTTGAATATCTTTTTTTAGTGTTGAACTGTCGAGAATTTGTTTTGACTTTCTGCTGTGATAGGAGGCATTGTTCATTACCACAATAGTTTTTTCTGGCAAAAGCATTAAGTTATTTTCAAACCAATCTTCGAAGGTCGGTTTATCCATTTCGTCTAAGTATTTTTCTTTGCCAAAAACGTAAGCTCTGCTCCATCAACAAATCCACTGGTAGATCCTGCGTGCAAGAAAACGAACCGTGCACCACGAGCTGATGGAGCTTTTAACCCATTCTTTTTTCACACTGTGCCCGATGTTTACCCATGATTAATCCAAATACACTATGTTGTATCTTTCTGCACGGTATTTACGAATTGCGCGTAAATAACGATGACGCCACGAGATGATTTCTGGTTTTTCAATTAAAATTGAATTTCTGCCACGTTTTATAAACACAAAATCCATATCACTCAGTAAGCAATGTAGCGTGGCCCGTGAAAAGTTGGGCAAAGTTTCTTCGACACTTACAACAGCTAATATGGTGTTTATTGTTGGTGGTATATTGTCACGAAAAAATTAATGAACTATTCTACGAATTTGGCCCCTGACACCTTCATCGTACTTGTTGTCACGAGAATTACCAACCTTTCGCTTCTTGGGCCTGGTCTTTGGAGATTGTAATCCAGCATCGGGCCATTTCGATTTCTGAACCTGACAACCTTAGAGAAGAACTTGGCCATCTGCAAAAAACCCTTGTCGCCAACGGTTACTCCAAGTCCACAATTCAAAATATTACACACCGACATCTGCATCCCCCTTTACACCCTAGGACGACTAATTCAGAATCTTTGGGTAATACTCCTGTGGCTTTTCTTCCGTATATTCGAAATGTCACTGATAGGATTGGCAAAATTCTTCGCAAAGAAGGTATCAGGACTACTTTTCGACCACCCAAGAAAATCTCACAATATCTACCCTCTCCTAAGGACCCATTACCGCCCCTATCTTCCTGTGGTGTCTATTCTATTCCTTGTTCATGTGGACATGTGTATATTGGCGAAACTGGTCGTTCCGTCAAAACTCCGATTCAAGAGCATCAAAGATGCATTCGATCAGATCTTTTCTCCCATTCTGCAGTTACAGAACACTGCCAAGAAACCGGACATTCCATATTGTTCGAAAAAACCCATATTATTTCTAAGAGCTCCTTCTTTTATTGCAGGAAAATCCGCGAATCTCTAGAGATCCGAAAAAATCTACATAATATAAATCGAGAGGAAGAATACTACTTGTCTCCCATCTGGAATCTCAGTCTAGAGCCGCCGTCCGGTCCCGCTACCATGATGCAGCCACATGATTGGCCAGCGCGCGCTTCTTGACGTTCGCTCCACGGAGTGTGCCGATACGTCCCGACGCGACAGGTCACCGCGACTATAAATAGAGCGGTAGCGGAGTAATCGTCGGATTCACTCCCCGCCTCTTGACGCGTTAGTATTCTGAGCTGTTGGACGTGAATCCCTGTCCTGGCGTTTGGTTTTCACCTCTGGCTGCGTTAAGTAGTTGAGTTACTGTGACCAAATGCCCATCTTGGTAGTTCTCCAAGAGTATTCGCCTCTGGTTGCGTTGAGTAAATCAGTTACCGTTGCTAACTACCCATCTTCCTGTCTTTTAATTTCTTTTTTTTTTGTTCTCCTGAAGAAGCTACATACAATTGTAGCGAAACGTCGAGATGAACCCACTTTTGGGTCACTCACAAATGACACGGTCCAAACCCGGAAGACGAATAAACTATAATTCTGACTCTGGCCGTGGAAGCCTACGATTTCATTTAACTTAGAAAGAAAGTATTTGAAAAACTTTGAAACAAATGTTTATTTAATGCACATTTTATTATACTACTGCTACTAATATAAGATTAAAGTTGATAAGTTACTATTAGAAACAAATAATGTATAGCATTATGTAAAATTATTAGCACACGATATTTGTAAATTGCATAAAATTGTACGTGAGAATTTGTTGAGAACTCCTGGTTTATTCCCTTTATTTTGAAAGATAGACAATGGAGAACGCCATCGATCACTGCATAAAACTGGCAACGTCTTAGCGAAATTCCCATAAGGTTAGCATTGCATATCTTACCCTGTACAGACTAGTCACTTTGAGGCAAAGTATAGTAGAAATTGTTTTAATATGTATTTTATTATTATATTAAATATAATTTAAAGGTTGCTGTTAAGCAAACCATTGCCGTACCTACGTAAGTAGTTTAAACCAATAGGGATTTTTTGAAAAATTATGAGTTATTTTTTAATTTGTTTAGTTACGTATACTTCAAAAAAGATCCCATAAAACTAAAAACTCAACAGTAATAATAATAACAAAATAGAAAGCTCAAATTTTGTACAAGTTGTATATTAGGCAGATAATTACCTATATTTTCTTTCCGCTCTTTAATTTTTTTACGAAACAACTTCTCTATTTTAATAGTAATAATATTTTTGGATTAATAATGTATATCTTTACTATAACAATAAAATAATTAATCGTATTAGGGGATATTCCTTTATTAATAACCTTGAAGAATTTGACAAATAATCTTTTGGGTACCTACCTATCTACCGACCGAGTAAGGGAAAGTTGTGAGGAATTTAATATCGTTCGTATTATCAGTTAGCAGTTCGGTCCATACGTTATAATGGCATCATTTTTGCAATTTATTGCTGCCAAACTTAAAAACAACGCGTATTCTCTGAGAGAAAGAACTATTGTTTTAAACGTTCATGATTCCCAACGTCAATAACCTTCAATAATGATTAAAGGTCGATCACATCAGGATCACATCAGGACACATCAGTCACGTCTCGTCACAGTCCTGGTGCCGAACCAAACAATCCGTCATACAAAATATTCTTTAATAGAAATATGGCGCCGGCATTCACATTCAGCAGTTGACGAACAGTTTCCCATCTGTCAGATAATTAATAGTTGTGTGACCAAACAGGACCGGTTCGGCGCCGAGACTGTGACGAGACTGATGTGTCTGAATCGACCTTAATAGTGGAACAAATTGAAAAGTTCAAATGATTTCAATCAGAATTTTTTTGGTGGCCAAGCAAACTTACTTCCACGACGAATCCATCGATGCGAAAAGTGTTAAAAATAAGTATTGACTAATTTTTAAAGAATAGCGGGTGCCCCGTCGTGTAAAAACAACATGTTTTGTCTTAAGGCAAGAGGTATATCCTCTAGTAATCTGTGTAAATGTTTTTGAAGAAAATCTAAATACAGAGGTCAATTTAAATTAGTTCACAGTGGAAAAGAACCTATTAAGTAGTCACAGATTTCACCACACTAAATGCTAACCTTAAGTCTTGCTGAAAAAAGTTTTTTATTTTTGTTTCTTAATTTGTTAATATTTGTTACTTCTTCTTCTTTCTATGCCGTCCCCATTAACGGAGGTTAGCGACCACATTTTTAAAAGCTTCTCTGTCTTTTGCAACGTGGAATAATTCGTCTACAGTCATGTTTGTCCAGTCTCGAATATTTCGCAGCCATGACTTCCTCTTTCTACCTATTCCCTTTTTGCCATCGACTCTCCCTGCATGATGACCTGCAGAAGACTATATTTATTATTTCTTAGTATGT